CTGTCTTCAGATACAAGCTCCTCCATCTGGTGAGTACTCAGCTTCCTCTAGTCACAGCACCTTACACTACTATGCATCTAGTCCTCAAAGGCATCTTCCTGTTACCCTTTGCTTCAACTTCATTCAGTGAGGTCATGCTCCACATGAGAGGTAGGTTTTAAAGTCAGCATGAAAGGCACAAACTGCAAATTGCCCTAATGAAACCCTTGGGAAGACACCAAGGTGGAGGTCAATATAGCATCTCTTGAAACTCTGGCTCTGCCACAGATGCTCCTGTGCTGAAACAAGTAGTAGCTGCTCCACAAACACAGATTGAGATGGGCAGAGACAAACTCAGGACAGAGCTGGAACATGCTTTCACTGAGTGCAGGAGACGCAATGACCCACAACACCTCAGTGTCCCGTCACCCTGAGCACGTCTAGCTATATACCTGTTAGGTTTGTGCATTTATGCTGGCACTGCTCCATCCCTCTGGCTTGAAGGTGAAGCGAAAATTCATAGATATGTCACAATCTAACTTCTTTCTGTCTCTGATGCTCTACCTCTGTGCTCTCCTATCATCTTGCTTGCTCCAGACACCTGCAGTCCCTTACGAGTGTCCTGCTGTCCACATCTCTGCTCGTATTTCCCCCATCCAGAGTGCTAGAGTCCTCCCCACTCGCCTTGTTAGAATCCAGCCACCTCTTTTCTGCTACTGAGGAGGAGCACCACCACAATCCTATCTCACGGGTCTCTCCCTCCCAGGCCTTGCACACCAGGAGAGCAGGTCCCCCCCACAGTTCACTCTGTAGTAGTGCTCAGCCCTTGTGAACAATGGAGGAATCAGTAGCCATTCCCTTCCAGGCAACAATGAGTCAAGAGAGTTAAATAGCAGCTAAAGCGGCTCACCTCTGGATCAAGCCACTAAACCACAATTAAACAAATCCAGATTCTACAGTTCCTGGGTTGTGCCTTCCTCTCCCATCATCACTGGCTCTAAAGAGTGAATACTACAATCAAGAGGAATCCAAAGTATCTGAAATCACAGATTAGTGCCCTGTTTCCGCTTATCAATTATCAATGAACATTGCTCTGATGGCTCCTGTGGGGATAACAACAAGCTTCAGAATGCAATGGTTTCTTTAGTGGAGGATCCAGGGAAAAAGCTATTTTGAGAAACTAAGGGTCCTCTTAGGGCATAACTCATCCTAAGGAAAGGCTTAGACATTTGGTCCACGAACACTGCTTCTCAAGAAATAATAGCAAGAATCAACAGAAGGGATTATATCAAATTAGAAGTTTCTGCACAGTAAAGAAAACAACCAACAGAGTGAAGAGTCAACCTATAGAATGAGAGAAGCATTTTTTGCCAGGTAGCTTACAGAGGACTAACATCAAGGATATATAAAGAACTCAAAAAAAAAAATGACATGCCCAAATAAAAGACCCAATCAAAAAAATGAGCAACTGAAATGAACAGATATTTCTCTGATGAAGCAATACAAATAAAGACATGAAAAAGGCTCATTATCACTGGCAATCAGAGAAATACAAATGAAAACTACACTGAGATACCACTTACCCCAGAAAGAAGGGCTGTCATCAAAATCTAGAAATAGATTCAATATTTCAATACAATAAATTCCGATGAGGATGCAGTAAATAAAGAACTTCACTACATTGTTGGTGGGAATGTAAACTAGTATAACCACTATAGAAATCAGTGTAGAGATTTCTCAAAAAACTAAGAGTAGACATTCTATTTCACCTAACTATACCCCTTGTAAGTATTTTCTTAAGAGTCTATTACATAGATGCATGCATATCTACATTTATGGCAGCAAAATTTATGACAGCTAGATCTTGAAACTGGCATGCTTGCCCATCCACGGATAAATGGATTTAAAAAACGTATTTATATACAATGTCGTAGTATGTCGAAATGAAGATAAATAAACTTCAGAAAGTCATAGGTAAATGCATACAACTTGACAATATAATGATAAATGAAATGTCAGACTTATAAGCTCAAATACTGCATAGTTTCTTTTATATGAATATATAATACATGCAAGTAAAGAGCAAAACAGAAGAGGGATAAATAAGTAGGGAGAAGTTAAAATGCTTCCCCAATTATATATTTCATTGTTACATATATATGCTAATTTGTTACATTTATATAGTTTGCCTTTATTGAAAAGGATGTTTTTGTTATTACTTGTTGCCTTTTTGCAAGAATCTCTGAGTTTATCTCTTGTACTGAGTACCTACTTTGAAGGTAACAATACACAGTATAATAACTGTTGTTATTCTTTGTCTTAAAAATTAATTTCTTTTTCACCAGAAATTGAGTTCAGGACCTTACACTTTCCAGATAGGCACTTGTGCCACTAAGCTATACCTCCAGCCTTCTTTGTCATAAAAAAAGAGGAACATTTCTTTTGAGGCTTATAAAATCTCAGGGGCTCATGTCTGAGTTCTAGGAAAACAGAATTACAGCAAAGGCTAAAACAGTCCTCAGAACTATAAGACCTCAGAAGAAGAGAGACAGGCTGCTCTGCTCTTTACTTCTGCAGCAGATCTCATCATTGGTTCCAATTAATTACTCCTCCCTATATTCATACCTTTGGTTAGGTGATGTTGTAGTTCTTTCTCAGGAAAGGGGAAGAAAATATTTTCCCTTGATTTTGGGTTTGGCCCTGTGACTTGCTATGGACAGTACAATAAGGCTGAAGACACAGAGCCCCAGTTCTGAGCCTAGGTTTAGTAGGAGCCATCGTAGGTTTGTGCTTATCCTTAAGCACCTTCACCATGTTGTAAGAACATGCTCACACTCACCCATGCATTCCAGAGGAACAATTAAAGACACATGTAGCAGAGGTAAAGTGGGCCACCCAAGCCTAGAATCTGCCCTCCACTGAATCCAGAGTAAGTCAGCTAAGATTCATCAGAGTTCATCCAACCCTCAGATGACCTGTAGATCCATAACAATGGATGATGGCTGTTTATGCCACTGTATTTTGGGATAATTTGTTATGCAGCATTTGGGGCGGGGGGGGGCAATAGCTAGCTGATACATGAGAGTCTGGGCCCGGGCTACCACACTAGTTATTCTGGCATTATCAATTATTGAGTTTACAGAGCCAATCTGACTCTGACCACAGTTTTGAAAAGCCAAGCTAGAAGAGTAAAAGCAGCCTTATTCGTGAATTGCTTTACTGATCATAAGCCTTGAGTTTTACAACTTAACACACAAAAGGCACAGTTCAACAGAGATGGATTTGACCATCAATTAATGGGTAGCAAGAGTAGCAGGACTATCCCAACTTAATATTTAATTTTGGCTGAAGTGAGTATTTTCTTACCACATGAGGTTTTCTATGATCCAAAATAAATTCCCAGTATTTATAGTTTGTTTCAAGATAAAATAAATCCATATATTTTCATTTCTTGCTACTTTTTTCCTTAACGTACTTTTTGGAAGATCTACTTAAAATTAAAAAGTTAATTTATGAAACCCTTTAGAATTAGTTTCTCTAATTATCTCAGATGCCCTTCTTCCTAATGTTAAATAATTCTATTATCTACTCCAAGGGTTTAAAGTAATATTCTAAGCATGGCAAAACATGTGCTACTATTTCTTCCTGAGTAAAAGTAGAGCTAATTAATATTTAAGTGGTTTATAGGAGTATATGTGTGTTGGGGAAGGGATGTTACATCACCTTCCTCTAATAAATTTAAATAGAAGAAAAAGAATCATAGTACTGTATTACTTTCCTTTGATGAATAAAAGATTATTTATCATGAAAAGTAAAACTGTTTTACTGGAGCCAGTGGTTCATAATAGGACATTTCTTTTATTCCATTCAAATTTAACTCTCAGTTTTAAAAAAAAAAAAGATCACATAATGACATTTTACAAAATAACTATCAAAACTAATGACTGCTTTGAAAAATGGCAGTAAATCTTAAGGAGGCTAACATAATCTTCAGAAGAAATAATTACAAAAGGAAATCATTCTCTGAAAAGTGGCAAAATGATTCAAGACCAACATCTAGATCCTAAAAGAAGTCTAAAATAAAAGGCTGGCAAAGAGGAAACAGAAGACCCCTGTAGAGTTCACCTTTAGCCTCAGGGGATTCACATACCATGGGAGGAAACCCTGAAATAATAAAGAAATGGTCTGTTTGCTTGGTTCAGGACAGTCCGCCCCTCTCCTCTGCCTCTCTCCTGCCACAGAAACATTACTTGTTGCTAACGCACACACCACTGTGAAGTATGAGAGGGAAAAATCAAGAGTTTTTATATAACAAGTTAATTCATCATAATGTGTCTCAAAAAGTCAAACCTTGGCAATCTCATAGGATTCAACTTAATACAATGAGAAAACATAAAATACATTCTCAACACACAAATACATACAGAAATTAAAAACATAAGCTTCATTGTGAGATACGTAAAATTGCAAACAAGATTCAAACTAGAGGTAGGCATAGTACTGCATATTTGCAATCCCAGGTACTTGGGAGGTTGAGGCAGGAAGATCATAATTTTGAGGCCAGCATGGACAATATAGCAAGGCTTTACCTCAAAACAACAAAATAACTGTACACCCAATAATAGCTGTTCTTAAAATTATTTTATAACATACCTTTTAAAAAATTTTTGTTGGGAGTAGTGAACTCAGGATCTTATGCATGCTAGGCAAGCACTATGACACTGAGCTACACCCTAGTCTTTCTTTTACTATAAATTTTAAGACAGAGTCTCACTTAGTTGCCCTGGCTGGTCTTGAACTTGGAATCACTTTCCCTCAATTTCTTGAGTAGCTGGGATTACAGTCATGTGTTACTACATTCAGCTTAACATAGTGTTTTAAGCTCACAAAATATCATCATAACCCACCAAAATACTATTCACTATTTTTGGTGAGGAAATATGAACATCTAGGTTCATGATCAGGAGTAAAGAAAAATGCACTTCTCAGAACAATATATTATGAAAGGATCACTGACATACCCGGAGAGCAACAGTTTACCCTGAAGCTGTAGGTCGGTGGCACAATCCTCAGATTGGCAGTTCCTTTCAAAGACAGTCTGAAAGACACAACAGGAAGGTTGGATTAGGAGTGAGTGACAAATGAGCCTTGGGAATTGTGGCTCAGACTTTCCTTGCGTCCTCGCACCTCCATGAAGTCAGATCCCTGCCTGGTGATAGGAATCCTCGTAAGTCTCCAAAAAAGCCCAAGTTGACAGTGTCTGGGCTGCAGCAGTCCAAGCTTGCTTGAGTCACTTCTCAGTCTACTGAAGTACTTTCAGTAGGAGTTGGGTTTTTTATTATTTATTTAAAAAGCATGTATGACAAGTGTCCCTTCAGGCTGTGCTTCTCTAAGAATAGCTTTGAGAAACTGTTAAATGGAAATGATCATCCAGTTGTGTCAAGACTTAGACTATAGGCTATCATGACTTTACAGTAGCCCACTCTGCATCTTCTAGACCAAGGTTACTTTTATTTTTGCTTTTATCCTTTCTTTTCTTTGGCCCAAGTTCATTCTGCAGAGCCAGTTTTTCCCTTACCCCTTCGCTCCTCACTTTTCAAATAAATTTTTGGCACCATTTAGAAAAATAGACTACACTCTGATCACTTACCCAACTTCTTTTGAGGAGCCATAAAAATCTATATCTGAGAGATTCTGCCTGAGAGATGGGACCATACTGAAGTTTTATTCTCAAAGGGAATGTGAAAGCCAAGCAGGCCATTAGACTGAGGGTACCACAATAGAACAGAAGAGATTTTTTTTTTTCCAGTTTCTGAGTGAACCAGCCAACATTTTGTAGAAAACAGTGTTTTTCTCTAACCAACGCTGGACTTTCACAATCAAAGCCCCACCTAGTACCCAGCATGCCAAAATCCACTTTATTTCCAGAAAGTTTGCCTGAGCTCTGGCCTATCCATGAAGATAGCCAGTCATCAGGGAGGAGCACTTCCCATGAGTTAGGGCTTTCCTCCCTCCACAGCATCCAGGGGACCTCCCTCAGTCTGGTATCCACCTCTCTGATATTTCCAGCTATAGAACATAGCCTCCATATGCTCCAGACGAGGAAGATGCTCTATTATCGTTAGACAGCTTTGATCATTTTGGTGGAATTTGAACAGGAGAGCTTCTTTCCCTTTTTAGTTATAACTTATTCACTGTAAAAGTTCTTTGCTGTCTCTGCCCATGTTTGTGAGCTTCTTCCCACCCACCCACACATGCTATAGTCCCAGGTGGTTTGTTTCCTTCTCACAGAGTAAGTCCAGCAGGCTTCTCAGGGCTCCAGCACATTTGTTGGCCAATGAACAGTCTAGACTTAACCAGACAAGGTAATTTTGCCTATGGAAATTCATATTTCTGTGCCATATTTCCAAAAGAATAAAGTTTCCCAGCCAAATTCCCTTCCTTGATTATGGCAGAAAATCATGGATGTCTTGGGCAGAAAGAGGAAATTCTCATTTTCTTTTGGATACTGCTAGGGCAAGGAGAGAGCAAAATTTCCAAAAGATTTCAATAAAGACTTTTGTGCTTTGATTTCCATCTCAGCCAGGGGAAAAAACAAGAGGAGGAGAGTATAGAGACTGTACTGACATCTCAGGCAAGAAGAAAAGAAGGCCTTGTGAGCTTTAGCTCTAAAATCAAAGCACCAAGGGGGCCTCACCAGTAAGTTAATGGAATGTGAGCTTGAAGGTCTCTTGCCCACATGACTTCTACTGAAGCCTTGAGGCTAAATTTGTTTTCATAATTTTACATTTTTTTCTTTAAGATCTCCTGCCCATCACTAATTATATGAGCTTTGGGCCCCAAAACCCCAGACCTACCTCTTGGTTATAGTCCCTTCCTTGCATATGTCTTTCCCACTTCACAGCCAAGAGAGTGAGCCTGATTTCCAGACATTGAGGGAGGCGTAGAGGTGGGAGTTGGGGTAAGAAGAGAAGAGGCTGTGACCTGAATCCATCCTGTGACATGCAGTGTGAATCCCAGCCCCTGCCCTCTTGTCTTCTGTCACCCTTCTTCTCTCCTGCCACTGTGCCTTACAACTTCAGCAGTGCATATGAGTAAACATCATGAGGTTTCCTACTTGATGGGGACACGAAAGAACAATGGAACCAAAGATTAGATATGAATTTACTTCTGTGTAGGCAGTGATGTTTTCCAAGAATAAATGCTACAATATATCTCACAACCTTCTTTACAAAGTGACTTTGTAAGGAGTCTGGGAAAATTTGTGGTAACAATGGAAATAGTGCTAAATGATTTATAAGGCAAGGCCATGAAAGGTAACAGAACTTCTTCCTAGTTCTCCTGGGGTTTTTGTTTGGGCAAATTGACTGCTCTGTGCCACGAAAACCCAGCTTCCCATGGAAAGGCTCACATGGACAGCTACTGACAGCCATATCAGCTTATGGGTCAAGTATGGGAGTCACATAGAAGTGGGACTCGGGGTTCCTGAAACCTTATTGAATCACCCCAGCTGATAGGCAGTATGTACAGCAGAGATGAAATTCCTTGACCAAGCCCTGCCAAACTGCAAATTCACATTTTCCTATTTTATTATTAATTTCTAATTTATTGCACTGTAGTCAGAAAAATATACATGGTATGATTTCAATCTTAACATTGTTGAGATTTGTTTTGTGACCTAATGCATGATTCATCCTGGGGAATGTTCCTTGTTCACTTAAAACAATGTGTGTGTGTCTTTCTGTTAATTTGAAACTTTTGTTTATGTATGTCAAGTCCACTTGGTCTACATTATTGGTCATGTCTGGTATTTATAGATTTTCTGTCTAGATAGTCTATCCATTATTGCAAATAAGGTATTGAAAACTTCTACTATTACTGTATTTCTTTCAACTTCTCCTTTCAGACTTGTCAACTAGTTGTTTTATATGTGTCAATCTTGTGATGTTGGGTGCATATATGTCCATAGCTATATCTTTTTGTTATTGGGTAGTGAGTGACTCTCTTTGTCTCTGGAGATATTTTTGACTTAAAGTATATTTTGATAAAATATGAGTCATTTTTAAGGAGAATTACCACTTACACAATTTTTCCCTTTCCATATGTGTCCTTGGTTCAATAGTGAAGCTCTTAGAGATAGCATATAATTTGATGTTGTATAAGCATATATGTGTGGATTTAATCCATTCAGTCACTATATTATTTTGAGAGTGTAGTTTATACATTTAATGTATTTAAGGATTTACTATTGTTATTTTGTTAACTGTTTTCTCTATGTCTGTAAGTCTTTCATTCCCTTTTCTCTTTTCTCATGTTTATAGGTTTTGATTCTTTACTTTTTTGTAACTTCTATAGGATCTCTATGTAAGTATCCTATACTTACTAAGGGTACGTAAGTATCCTATTGTTATAATATAGGCTGATAACAACTTTACTTGCATTAAAAATACTCCCATTTTCTGTTTTTTCCTCATTATATGTTTTGATATCTGTGGCAGACTGACAACTGGTGGTCAACTTGTAATACCCAGCTGAACTGAACCAGCAAGGTGCTGGGTGCGGGAGGCCCACCTGATGATTACTGCTCATAACATAAAAAGAACTCAAGAAGAAGTGAAGCTGTAGGGAGCTTGTTGGCTTTCCTGAGGAGCGTGTCCTACTGGCTTTGCTGATCAACTCAGCTGCTGTCATCACTGGAGCAGATCAGGACCTCATCGTTGCTAAGAATGGCTGCGGTTCACTTTGGGGGAGCTCTGGTCCTCACTTTGAGCATCATTTCCTGTCTCCAGAGGGGAAAGTGGTGCACTGTTCAGTGTCTTGGAGAAGCTTGTCATGCTGACTTTCCTGTAAAGACTTATCTGTTATCATCAGAGGAGTTTGGGACCTTGCCGTTGCTGAGAATGGCTTTGCTACTTTTCAAGGGAGCTCTGGTCTTTACTTTGAATGTTGTTTTCTGGCTCCAGCGAAGATTTCTCAACCTACTAGCACAGACCTTTCTTCCTGCTGGCATGGACTTTCTAGCTTCTACCACTGACCTTTCACATTTCCCAACGTAGATCCATGAAACAGTCTTGTGTGAGATACTGTCATGGGCTCCAGGCCTCCAGTTACGACTTGTGGGGGACACAGCTATGGGATCTCAGTCTTCAGTTGCACTCACACAGGACACTGCCATGGAATCCAGACTCTCATCTGGATTCTTTTGGTCTTTAATGTGTGGACAGATTTCCGCCACTTTCTTTGTATATAACTCTTGGTTGACTACTATAAAATAATCTTATAAGTTATGTGTTCTGTATTATTCCCCTTGCAATCCCTGACTACAACAACATCCCACTTTATAACTACTGATATTATGTATCTTTTAAGATAATTTAGCTATAATTATTTTGTCTTTTAACAAGCTTAGGTAATAATCATAGAAATGAAAATTATACCCCATCACTTTTATAGTAATACAATATTCTGATCTGGGCTTCATATTTGTCATTACCAATGAGCTCCCTACTTTATTATGCTCTGTTATTTACAGAGTCTTTTCAACAAAACTCCTAATGTTTCACCTACTGGTCAAAAAGGTCTTTATTGCCTCCTCACTTTTGAAGGGCAAGTTATCTAGATACACTATTTTTGGTTTTTAGGTTTTTTCTTTTAGTGTTTTAGTGTTTCTATCATCCCACACCTTATAAGTTTCAAGGTTTCTTCAAAAAAAAAAGCCACATTACTAATCACCAGGGAAATGACAATCAAAATCAAAGTGAGATCACCTCACATGACTTCAGGTGGTTATTGTGGAGAAGACAAGGCATAACTCGTGTTGGGTGAAGGTGTAGAGAAAAGAGAGTTCTCATGCACTGAGGATGGGAACATAATCAGTACAGCTATTATGGAAAATAATAGAGAAGTTCCTCAGAAAATCAGAAAGCTAACTGACACATGATCAGGCAATTCTTCTTAGTGGACAGACACGCAAAGAAAATGAAATCAGTAGCTTGTAGAGCTATCCGCACTCCCAAGTTTACTACAGCAATATGAACAACTGCGAAGATATAGAGACAACTTGTCAACAATCAAATGGATAAAGAAAGTGTGGGATAC